AAATGGCCACAGTACCAAAAGCAATATAGAGATTCAAAGCAATCTCATTTAAATAACAATGATATTTTTCACAAAATTAGAAAAAAACAATTCTTGAATTCATTTGGAATAATAAGAGAAACAAAATAGCCAAAGCAATACTAAGCAAGAGAAGTGAAGCAGGAGGTATCACAATACTTGATCTGAAATTATATTTCAGAGCTATAGTACCAAAAACAGCATGGTATTGGCATCAAAATAGACATGAAAACAAATAAAACAGAATAGAAGATGCAGAGACAAATCCACATACTTACAGCCATCTGACATTTGAAAAATCTGTCAAAACTATATTTTAGACAGACAAAAGACAGCCTTTTTAACAAGTGGTGCTAGGAAAACTGGATAGCTATGTATACAAAAATGAATCAGACCCCTCTATTTCACCCTATACAAACCCAAATCAACATGGATCAAAGACTCGGGAATTAGACCAAAAACTTTACAACTACTAGAAGAAAACATAGGCTCCATAGTCCATCATATAGATGCTGACAAGGCCCCCAAAGTGCAAGAAATAAAATGAAGAATAAATGAATGCCATAAAACTAAAAAGCTTGTCTACAGCAAAGGAAACAATTAAGAACATGAAGAAAGAGCTGACAGAAAGGGAAAGAATCTTGGCCAGCTATTCTTCTGATAGGGGATTAATATCCAGAAGATTAAAAAAAAACTTAGCACCAAATATAATATAATAATAATAATAATAATAATGCAATCAATAAATGGGCAAAAGATCTAAACAGAAACTTCTCAAAAGATGAAACACAAATGGCCAACAAATATATGAAAAAAATGTTCAACAGCAATCAGGAAAATATAAATCAAAATTCCAATACAATGTAATCTCAACCCAGTCAGAATGGCACTACTCAAGAATATGAATAATAATTGCTGGCGATGTTGGGGGGAAAGGTACACTTGAACATGGTTGGTGTGACTACTAAACCACTCTGAAGAGCAGTATGAAGATTCCTCAAAAACCTAGAGATGGAACCACCCTATGACCTAGCTATCCTACTCCTTGGTATTTTTCCAGAGAGACATAAGATTGACACACTGCAGGGATATAGCCACCTCAAAGTGTATAGCAGCAAAATTTCAATAGGTAACTTATGGAATCAACCCAGATGCCAATAAATAGATGACTGGAATAGAATGAAAA